ACAATGGAACATATGACTGTACAACTACAGATGGAAGTGCCTCTTTTCCTGAGAAGATGGACCCCAGTTATTGATTATCTTGCTAAGGACTCTTATACACTTTTACTCTATCCATGCATCACTATTATTGTTGTTGTTATTATCAAGGCTTGATACGATATGTGCTATACGCTCAACAGTATGACAGACTGGACCCAATTTCTGTTTTATTTTTATTAGTATTATTTACTATTTTTTTTTATGTTTGCCTGCCTCTTTCTTTTTCCCTGTATGATGCGTAATGCTTGATAACCTGCATTTAAGGCAATAAAGTTAAAAAAAAAATAACCCTGCCGTTTTTTTTTCTGCAGTCACGGTTGCAATTTAAAAAAAAACCTTTTACTTATTATATCAGATTATTTCCCTCAATTTACATCCTCCTCTGTTATTTGTCGCCCAGGGTACATCGGTGTGGTGAACCGCAGTCAGAAGGACATCGAAGGCAAGAAAGACATCAAGGCTGCTCTAGAAGCTGAGAGGAAGTTCTTCCTGTCCCACCCGTCGTACAGGCACATGGCCGAAAAAATGGGCACCCCTCGTCTGCAGCAAGTGCTCAACCAGGTACGCTGGATTTACACTCTGTCTGCACTTTACATAATTAATAAGAGAGTGACCTACTTTTTTTTCTGGTTCTTTTGTGCTTTTATCACTTGGTGCTGATGGAGGTTTTACAAGGCTGAGAATGTCTGTCTGGTTCAGCTGCAAATAAATCAGAATTTCACAGCATCCCAGATTACAATGAATTAAACACAAAAAGCCATTTAAATATATATATATATATATATATATATATATATATATATATATATATATATATATATATATATATAAAATCCAAACAATTATGATATAACGTTCATTTTACTTTTGTGTTTGTGTTAAACTTGTGCCCTCTCGGTTTTTGTGTCTCCTTAGCAACTGACCAACCACATTCGGGACACGCTGCCAGCTTTCCGCAGCAAGCTTCAGGCCCAGCTGTTGGCTCTAGACAAGGAGGCAGAAGAATACCGGGGATACCGTCCTGATGACCCATCTCGCAAAACCAAACAGCTGCTGCAGTTAGTAAAGCATTTTTCCCACAGCAGAAGCAACACGAGACGCTGTTGACACAAACACTATGTGAAAGGAATTTCCCTCCTTCTCTTTTCCTTGCCATTCTTTATCTGCTTATTTCGTGTTTCCAGAAACCAGAGCTTGCTTTATTCAGCTGATATCTGTGTTTTTAATGCATATTTATTGAATTTCAGAATGGTGCAACAATTCTCTGTGGACTTTGAGAAGAGGATTGAAGGTTCGGGGGATCAGGTGGACACAGTTGAGCTGTCTGGTGGAGCAAAAATCAATCGCGTCTTTCATGAGCGCTTCCCTTTTGAACTGGTCAAGGTGAACAACTCAGAGTTAAAAATGAATGTCTTAAAATACTCTAAATGTATCCCTAATTGCTGCATTATTTTTGAAGGTGTAAATCTAAAACCCTACTAGGAGGACATTTAGGCAATGGGTTAGAAATACCACTTAAAAAATAACTGTATTGTTGACCAAACGGCAGTCTTTACATTCACTTTAAGAAGTAAGGAAAGCGTGGTTTATGCTTTTCCGGAGGAACAGATAAACAGCTTCAAACAACAGGAACTGTTGTGAACAAATAAAGTCTGATCACACATATCTAATTTCCCCCCACGCACATAGAGCAGAGTGACAAAGGAAGGGAAAGAATTTTTTAAGCTGTTAGAGGAATGCAAGAGAAGTGCAGCTCTGAGCTCCTTCAAGACTAGAAATAGTTTTCAACAAGTATTCTAGCAGGAAAATTTAACAAATTAGCACAGAAAGGTTCAGCAGACACTAAATAAACCCTCTTCTTAATTCGTCTCAGTTCCAAGACCTAAATCATTCAGAAACCTGGGTTTGCAGGAGAGCAGGAGTGTTAGCTCAAGTCCTCTAGTGCTGGTTTTCTGGTCCAACGTACTTGAATCAAATGGATGAAACACCTCCTCAGCATGCAGTCATACCCTCAACCTGAATTTATCGAGTTTTAGCTCTTAGTTGTCATTTGTTAACCCTTCAGTCAACAGTAAGATCGCTATCGTAAGTGGAAAAGGAGCTCCAGGCTGCTGTGCTTAATGCGGAAGGCCTTTAACCTTCATTATCTGATGAAATGAACATGGATGATGTTAGTCAAAATGGGACTACAACCTTCCCAAAAAGAACCACAAAAAGCAGAAGTTATATAGAAACAGATGAAGCTCTCCATTATAAAAAACCAAAATGTAAAGATGTGTACATTCACTTGAAAAAATAGAAATAAGTAATTTTTTGTTAAAATAAGTGCATTTGTTCTTGAATTGAGGAGGTAAAAGAGGTATTTTGCCAGTGGAACAAGACAATTTACACTTAAAATAAGAAAACATAATTGCATTATCTTATTTCAAATGCATATTATCTAATGATCTAAT